GCCTTCAGCGGGCACCGGCAGCCGGCAAGACACCTGGCACTACCCAGGAAGGGACTGGCTTGCCCCTGAGGCAGCATGGGTTGTTGGGAAGGGGAGGGCCGATTCTGATCAACATTGCTAGGCCCCCCCCCGCGAAAGGCACCAGGTGGCACCAGGTGAACTGCCAGCCACAGGCACCTGCTGAAGCCAGAAGCAGTGAGGGGTCTGATCCTGCTTTTAGCAGAGCCTCCCTGCCTGCCCTGAGGCTGGAGGGAGAGCTACCACTGGGCTGGGCAGCCCCTGAGCTGCAGGGGGGCCTGGTCCTTCCCCCTGCAGCAGTAGGACCCCATGCCAGGGCCAGCTGTGGCAGGCTGCCAGTGGGCCGTGCACTACCTGAGCTTGCAAGGGCCCAATCCTGGGAGCCCACCAGCACACCGCCTCTCCCGTGATCCTATCTAGGCTTCCAGTGCCTCACACACCAAGATGGGGTTGACTTACACACTGGACATACAAAAATCCTAATTTATTTTACAGAAATATGGGGTGAACTTATATAATGTGTCAACATATACACTTAAATATGGTAAAAGGAAAGCCTCCCCCCATTAAAATGTTACATTTAAAAAATAAAGCAGGGAAGAACATCAGTTCTGAGGAATACATTACAGCAAAATATTACAGAGTTAACAGACAGTACAAGTAAAATTTCAGATCTGGATCCCAGAACCATATCTGGAGTCAGATCTAAATTTATAATATAACCTATCTACATAACAGTCCTGACCCAAAGGTGGGCCTCACTGGAGTAATGAGTAATATAAGCACTAATCAATGTAAAGAGCATTAAAAAAAGCAGACCTCACCAAAAATGACCCCCATGCCACCTGGGTGCCTGTGGAAGTAAGCCTGCCAGACAGCAGCATCAAAGTTGATTATTAAGATTAATCAACAAGACTGGTGCCAAAGAGTCTAAAACAGTGATTTTCAACTTCTTTCATTTGTGGACCCTGAAAACATTTTGAATGGAGATGCAGACACCTTTGGAAATTTCAAATGGAGGTACGGACCTCTCTGAATTGTAAATGTGGGTATTCACATGCTTTTGATTGCTCATAGTCATCTTTTGCTGACCCCTTACACATAGTCTGCAGACCCTCAGGGATCCGCAGACTGCAGGTTGAAAACCACTGGTCTAGGACACATCTGGTGACAAAATCTGAGGTTACGGTAATTTGGTATAGAGGTGTCCATGTTTGTAATGTAAATGCCTGATGTAAACAGAACTGCTTTCTTCATGTATAAAAGAATTCCTGGAAATCTTTCAACTTTGCATTAGGCTTAGGGTAGGAACAGACATAACACTTGAACCATTCCAAGTGTGTCAGTGATTGGGAACTGGTTCACATTTGTCCCTGGACAGAATTGTCCACATGTATACTGCTAAGGGTTCACTGCTGCCAAAACATCACCAGGGTTTTTTTACAGTACTTAGACCCTCTTGTTTTCCAGGCGTCAGTGTCTGGAGTTTCCCCCGGATTCCTCTAGAGCAGCGGTTCCCAATCTGTGGTATGGGTACCACCAGTGGTACACAGACAACCTGTCAGTGGTACGCATTAACAGCTTTATTATCATTACATTATATGACAAAAACTTGCTGGTGGTACTTAAGATTGTATCATTTAAAACTTGTGGTGTGCAATCTGTCAGAGTTTGGGAACCGCTGCTCTAGAGGGAGAGGAAGATCCAAATTGGGGCAGGGGGTTGGAGTGGAGGGGCTGTCAGTTCCTGGGGAGGCAATACAATCTGCTGCATGGGTTTCCTCAGGGACTGGGACTTCCTCAGGGACTTCCACTCCCTCAAGAACTCCCTAACTTTTCCAACTACTCAGGTACCTTGCATTGCTAGCAATTGCATAGAGATTTGTGTGCAAGGTGGAACCAGCAGGGCTGGGCTGGCTGTAAGAGTGCAGCACAGAGGACAAGAATAAAGAACAGTTAAAATGGGTTAATTCAGTTCACATTGAGCATGGAATTGGCAGCCACTAATTGACAGCTATTAAATGCCATTGTGTAATGGCTCTGTTTCTTCCTGCCCCATCCAGAAATTGGTGGACTATAGTCTCTGCATGCAACAGGTTGTCTCTGGACAATAAGAATCCTGGTTGCGTCCCAGAGCAGCCCCATTGCCCTGCATGGATTTTGAGGGTGATGAACAGTGCAGTGAGGGAAGCTTGGAAGAGTGACTGGACACTAGGCACATAATGCTCTATGTCTGCACATAACACTGAACTGGTTCAAGGAGGACCAGCTCAAAATAATACTTGATTTTCTTGGTGTGCTTCTGAAATGTTTAAGAAAGTTTATACCAGTCTAAAGTAGCATGCACATACAGACTTTTGGAGTTTAAAGTGTATGTAAAACGTTCTAAGCATTACATCTGTTCATAACCATAGAGGACACAAATAATTGTGCATTATGCCTGTGCCTTACCACCAGTATCCAGAACTAACATCTTTATACCCTTTGGTCAGGCATGCTAGCATATTGGTACTGTGTAGGTAATAAACCTGGTTGAACTTTTGCCACTGAACTGAACCTTATGTCAATTCTCTGTGTAACATCTTTTTCTAGCATGCTCCAAGACCAGCAGTCACAGCACAGACAATACCCTGACAGCATGTTTATACACAAAGAACTACACTGACCAAGAGAGAACACAGAGGAATTTTAAACTTTGGGAATGCAGTTTCCAAACTGTGAGATATCTGAATATGCATATTAGAATCTAAGAACTTTCTGTTACTGAACCTGTTATTGGTAACTGATTTACAGCTTTACTTTATTCTTACAATATATTCTGTACTGCCTAGACCCGCCACAGTATGCTGAAGTCATCTTGTTCCTTACTATACTTGGGGAGAATTCTGAATGTTTATATGCTGGATTTTGATCCAGGCTGTACTCTAAACATTTTAATCTACTACAGAAGCACTCAGTGGGTGCATCTACACGAGACACTTACTGCAATTGCCTAATTAGCTCCACAGTAATGCGTCACTATTTACATGAATGGTGCTATCAGGCCAGAGTAAACCAGTTAACTCTACTGTAGGATACTACTGCCCAACACTAGTATTATTCTATGGTGGGGTTATTTCCTGTGCCACAACGCATGTGTAGATGGTGACCGGGGCTGCCTGGGGTACTACAAGGGTTCTACAATGCAGGGATGCCTACTGGCTAGTGCCACACTGCAGCATCTTTGTGCCCCATCCACCCCTCCATAGCACACTGAGCTGGAACAGAGCAGCTCCAGGCTGGTAGTCTGACCCCGTGAGCCCTGGCTCAATGTGCTGTGCTCCCAGATGCACATATAAACGCTGCACCTGGGAGCAATAAACTCGGTGTGAATGGCACCAAAGTTTATTCGGGCACACTAATCGCATGTGCTCAATGTGACTCAATAGAACAGCAAAACAGATCAACAGCAAAATCACCATCACAATCATTTTCCTCTCCCACTAGAACATATTTAACTGGCCTTTAGAATGTATCTGAGATTAGCACCGTACTAGGAAGGAAAGAGGAAAGTTCACCTTGGAAAGGATTTTAAAACAATGCAAATATGTGCATAATAAGAAGGATGATACACAGTGACAAAGATATTTTGGAATCAAAAGAAGGCCTTCACCAGGTTGATAAGAATTAATCTACGCATCTTGGGTAAATCCTAAGTAATGGTTCATATGAAAAAGCCAGATCCTCCATTTCACTCCTTTTGTTTGGCAGCTCTTGTGATGTGAAGCTGCATACGGCCATCTTACACTATTCTGATCATTCTCTCCCCATAAAGGGAAAAGCTCATGTGGCATAGGCTCTGCAGAGAACCCACAGCAAGGTACGTGGCTGGGGAACATGGAATAGAGGCAGCTTGTCCCCTAGGCCCCAGCCCTTCCCAGCTAAAGAAACAGCTGGAGAGACTTGAGACAACAGATCTCTAGTCATTCCTTGGCTTGGGGGACAAAGATGCAACTTACAGTCACATTTTTCCATTACTTTCTGGTCTTGCACCACAGAGTCTGCTTTTTCTAAATACCCTTTACTACTTTTCAGAAACATTTCCCTTCTGTTTGTCTGAGGCCACTTTTTTGTTGTTGTTGTTTGATACATACAGGGCACTGTGGACAGACATAACTTTTGAAGTGCTCCAACTGCCTTTGAAATGCTCCAATAAGTGAAAGTTCATATGCACACAATCAATTAAGTACTGCAAAAAGAGCCATTACACCTCAACAATGATCATACAAGAAGCAGAAACATCTTTGAAGTGCTACTTATTATATGTGCACCCTCCAGCAGAGCACAAAGGGGAACTGGTCAGTCCTCCAGCTTCCCCAGTGCTCTGTTGGTTGCAAAGATCAGCTTTGCAACTCACTGAACTCCACTGCCTGTTAGGTGACCTCTGCTGCTTACTGCAGGGCATGAAGCCACATTTTGCTAGATGTCTACCCTGCACACTTCATTCGTTCCATGAGAACAGTGTTAAGGACCCTTTGGAACATGTCAGCTGCAATCTCGGTTTAGATTGCCACTGGCACTAGTGGTCCACAATGTCCCTCAGCACAGCAAAGCACCTCATTGACGCTGGAGCACCTCACTGATTCCATGCCGTTGTTTGCTGTGGCTATATATAGCCCTGGATACCTTGCAACCCCTCTTATTCACAAGGGGGCTTGGAACCTACTCTAAGAAGTATCTGAGTTCTACTGTACTCATAGCTGTCAGACAAACTCTTAAAGTAATATTACCTTAAACCTAGGAAAACAAATAAATGAGATGTCAGTATGCAACACTGATGCCAAAACCAGAAATAGTGTAAACACAAAAAATAAAGGGCTTAGTTCTATACAGCAACAAAGGTTTCCTAGCAACTGCTATTCACTACAGTTAATGGACTCTGAAGGTATTCACCACCTTGCAGAACTGGATCAAAAGCAGCAACAGTGTTTTGACACTGAAGCCTTTCAGAATGATCTGTAAAGGAAAAGTTTTAACACATGAAAGTCAGTTAGGCGATAACATATTTTAAAATGAAAACACTTGCCAAAGCAGCAGTTGGCCCTACTAGAGTTGATCCTGGCTCTGTGCTCCTCTTAGGGGGACCTCCACGCCTACGGCCTTTTCCTTCACTTTCTAAGACAAAGAAATTAGAAGATATAATTACTCTTATTACTTGGATGGTGTGTGTGTGTGTGTGTGTAAAAGTATATTTTTAACACGCCCTAGAAATGATAGAAAAGTTGGTACGTGGTGTCTTATTTTAAAAATGGTACAAGGAAAATTCTAGGAATTGCAGATCAGTGAGTCCCTGCAGGGTGCAGGAGAAACTGAAAGTCTACTTCAGAAAAGAACAGTACCACACCTGCTAGCATTTTATTTATTTAAATGTTAATTGGAAATGTTGTAATACATGAAGCTCCTTGGGGTCACTATTCTCTTTTCAAGGCTGACCTGTTCCACAGTGCCTGTAAGAAATAAGCCAGTTAATAATGGGTTGAGGGTCAGAGGTGTATCGAGGCTTATATCTGCTATCTTTAATCAAAATGAGTTTTACATCTTCCTTGAAGAGTCCAGTTCACATAATGGTATGATGCTGCAGGAAGATGAACAGCTTCAGTTGTCAGAGAACTGCTGCAGTTCAATGTGCGGGCCGGGTGTGAACCGGGCCCTTTTTTGTGCTCTGCGCGGGCTGTGGCCAGCAGCCCGAGCACGCTGGGTCGGAGAGAACAGGCAACACGCTAGAATTAGGCGCGGACTCGTAATGGTAGATTTAAAGATTGTTTACTTACACCGAAGATGGTTGCGGTGCAGGCTGGAAAACTTGCTTGAGTTGCGGTTACAAACAAAATGACACGAACAATCACATGGAGTTTGCTAGGCTCCACGGAAACAGAGCTCCGGATGCCCTGGACAAGTGCGCCACCGAAATAGAAACCTCGTAGATACGTCTTATAAAAAATTATCACTCGAAGACGGAAAGAGGTGGGCGATGGATCAAGTCGCCAAACTTCTCTGGATCTCACACAGGGTTTCTATTACCCTGCCGTGTACCCAGAGTCCCCACGAGATGGATGTGGAGTCCTCTTCGGCTTGGGCGGAAACTGCTCAAGCCTCTTATACGGCTAACAGGCCAATCGTTAGCCGCCACGTGGGAATAATTTAGAACTAGCCAATAGCGGAGAACAAATTTGCATGCAGGTGGCGGGAACTCCTTTGCACCGTGCATTTCTCTTGCAACTTGAGAAATGCACCCTGCAAATAAAGCTACAAATTGGCAGGAAATTCTCCCTTGCACCGGGGTTCTCCTCTGCAGCAGAAAACTCCACCGTGCAACGAAGCTGCAATTTAGCGGGAATAATTCTAGTGCCGAAGCACACACAAAATCATACCTTTGGGTTATGACATTCAACATCAGCATTTGTGACACCAAGTGAGACAGGATGTCTGATGAAGGTCAAATAAAAGAACACAGTGGAGGAAACACTTTTTAATACAAAGGCAAAACATCAAAAAGTCAAATTGCTATAAAAAATTGCATTGTGGCCCAACTAACTAACCAAGATACTTCATGGTACTAATGAAAGCCTGATAACATTTTGAATTCCTTTAACATCCAGATGGCATGTCCCTGTTATCAGTGAATATGCCCGAATAACAACATTGGATGACAAGTAAAATAAATCTTTTACCATCAGTAAAGGGTATACATGCTGCTATCCCCAAACAGCATAAAGTTAGCTTAGCAGGAGACTTTAATTCCAGGGTTGGGAAAGATCATATTACCTTGGAAAATATGATCAGAAAAGTAAGAGCTGCCAATATGAACAGCAGTGACCAGTTCCTTCTCAGCACATCCACAAAATATAATTTTGTTGCCACCAATTCTGTGTTCTTCCAAAGAGATACACACAAAACCTCCTGGATGCACCCAAGATCCAAACACCGGCATCTAATCAGCTATATCATTTTATGTGCCAAAAAACCCTTCTGATGTGTATATTATTGAGCTTGCAACAAGTACCAATGATTTTTTAATAGACTACAGGTTATTTTAGAAAAAAATAATCCTATGTGTTGTTTCTAAAGGAAGAACGATTAACATTTCAACAGAGAAATTCAGTCCGAACCACCTTGGAGATCCTAAGGGGGTCCTGCATTTAGAATACCCATTGAACAATGGGCTACAACTTCACTAGCTGCACTCTAAAAGGGTTCTTCTCCATTTCCATAGGCCCAGCATATGCAGGACCTCAGCTAGGGGACATTCAGAGATGCCCCTCTATCACATTCCAGACAGCATCAAAGATGCCCTACATCTCATGGCTGACAGCTAACCAAGGTTTATGCTCTACAGTCTGTGAGCCACTTCAAAGACTAGAAAGACAGGGTTTTCTTCCAAAGAAGGGGAGGAACCTAAACTGCCTTCTCATTGAGGTGAGTGCAATACTTGCAGGATCTTCTGCTAGAAATGTACATAGTCTCCAGAACATCACTGGAAGTGGATTACAGAACCCTGGTTATGGTGGCTGTTCTAAGCAACAAATTGCTACAGCCACGCACAGCAGTCCTGAGACTCCCGGATTCTAAACCCTGCCTCCCAAAATCCACTTCCTCCCTACTGTCACGACCCAGTGATTTTTTGTGCCTCGGCACTATGGAATTTCCTGGCCACATGAGAGCTCCTTTGCACGGCAGAGTGTTCTGCTGCAATTGAGAGCCTGCGTGCAGGAGAGTTCCCGCTAATTTGCAGTTTCCTTTGCAGGATGCATTTCTTCTTTGCAGCACAGAGATGCACGGTGCAAAGAGTTCCCGCTATTCGGATGCAAATTTGTGCCCCGTTATTGGCCAGTGCTAAATTATTCACACATGGCGGCTAGTAATTGGCTCGCTGGCCGTTTAAAATTCCGTGCGACTTCCGCCCAAGTCGAAGAGCTTTGAGCACGCTGCAGAGTGCCTCTGAAGTTATCTGACTTGCGGCTGCCGATCGATAGACTGATCGCCTATCGATCTTTCTTCCCATCGCTGAGCGCAACCCCGACGTACCCCTTTCCCCGCCGGCTTCGAATTGCGGATGGATTAACTGGCTTGGGCCCCGCCAGCTGGAACAACTAGTGTGGTTGTTCCGACGACCGGACCACCTGCGTCGTGATTGCAAGCGGCGTGAGTAAAGTTTTTTACAACCAATAAGTTGTGTCTGCCTCTCCATTCACCAGCCCGCCCTGACGTACGAGCGTAACTCGAGTCGGCCCTGGCCATCCGAGACACCTACATTCCAATCTGAGCATCATACTAGTTCATAGCTCTCAGAGGCAACACCTGATGCCACTTCTTAACTCCTTATGCCTGCCTCAGAGGTACAACACAGATTTAACTGCTAAGGAGCTGCACTGGAACATCTGGAGGCCATTTGCCAGGGACAGTATCTGTACCCCACATTAGCAAAGACTCTGAGAACCATTGTGTTCCACAACTGGGCATGCAGGAATAAAAGCTTGTTCCTTTGAACACCAAGGGAAGGAAGTCATGCATTCAGTGCAATGTTCCACATTCCAGCACTCTTATAGAAGTGACCAGTATAAGTAGCCTGAGGGGACAGATGCAAGGAAACTTTTTCTGTGTGGGACATGGGAAGTACTTGTTGATCAGAAGAAAGTACTTAAAGTACACTAACACGTTATCTGTACAGGAAGAGCACTGTCTTTTCCAGACATCAGACCAAGTATGGGTCACTAGATGACTGCTGGCCACAACTGGGAGATCTCCATTTACACAACTTGGTACAGACATAAGAGGCAGCTATTGTGTGCCTGGCCCCTGCGCAAATTTTATGCTACTGCTGGAATATCATTGCTCTGCACCTAACTGCAATCCATGGCATGCCCAGTGATTGATGGATGTGCACCTGCACTTATGTGCTAGGGGGATACATGCTTGGGGACACTGCTGGGGACAGAGCCACTGGGATGTTGCGGCAGGGGCGGCTTGGTCCAGGGCCAGGGCAGAGCCATGATCTGCAGCCTGCATGCTCTGGGCAGGTGCATGCAGACAGTGGATCATGGCTCTGCCCTGGCTCCTCGCAGCAGTGACAGCCTGATCCTGAGCTGGGGCAGAGCTGCGATCCACTGCCTGCACACCCCTGCCCAGAGCATGCAGGCTGCAAGTCGCAGCTCTGCCCTGACCCCAGACCAAGCTGCCCCTGACGCAAGCTCCCAGTGACTCCAGAGCAGCCCCCTACCATGTCCTGCCGTGCACCCTGCCAGCGTGGCTGGGGCTGGTCTTCATGTCAACCCCAGCCTTGCGGTATCACCTTACAGATATGGCCAGGGTCCCCATAGAGACCGGCCCCAGCCATGCAGGCAGGGGCTGCTGGGAAATGGAGTCCAGTGCTGGCCCGCAGCCCGGACTTTACCTACCCCCTACTCTAGACACTCTCTACCCACAGAAATCTTACCCTGCTTCTTAGCCCGGTGCCCAGGAGAATCTCTCCCAGTCTTCCACCCTGTCTATTGAGGTGTACACTTTCGCTGCCTTTGCCTGACTACCTAAGCTGTTCCTAAACAATCTCTGGCACTTCAAGTTTTTCTCTAAGCACTCCACCTCAGTGGAAGGAAGAACAAGTCACTCAGGAAGTATGCTAAGGAATAGCAAAAAGTAAAGGGACAAAATCAGGAAAGCAAATACAACAGCTGAGATATAACTGCCAAGAGATATAAAAGGAGGTTCTATTAATGTATCATACAGAGAAGAAAGATAAAAAAAAAAACCCTTGGGTCCACTGCTCAATAGTGAATGTGATCTGATAAAAGGAAGATGGAAAGAAGGCAGAGCTGCTCAGCAACTGCACAGCAAAAGCAAACTGAGATAAAATAGCTATGAAAAATAATACTAGTGAAGGAGAAGGCTACAAATCAGAAGTAAAACAACAAACTCTCCCTGTGCTTTTACTAGAGTGTTTGTAGCTGCAAGCTTGCAAAGAACAATATTTCCAACTATTTAGGCGATCTAGTAAAAGATATAACAGTTACTCAAAGAACCTCATCTAACAAAGTTGAAAGAATTTAAGTCAGCAGAACCTAATGAAATTCATCATAGGGTGCTGAAGGAACTGGCTGAAGAAATCTCGGCGGCACTGG